ACCTGCACATGTCTCTCCATACTCCTATGACAATTCTGGCGCCGAATACTTCGTGGCCATGCTCCTTGATTACGATCTGTTAGAGCAGTGGGTCAACTCATGCTGTTAATGATTGATCCACGTTCGACTTTCGCAGGGGAACGACGCTTCATTATGGGACAAGTTCATAGTCAAATAATCTAAAGCAGCGTGGCTTCTCCCCAAAGGCAGACGTACCCAATCCAGACATCACTCCTTGCAGTTGCTTTCTGACTTGTGGTTCAGGGGACTTCAGATCAACTTTATTTGAGGACGTTTTGACGCGCTGATACGTTTTGCTTTTTGATAGTTCTCTACGAAACCGTTGCGTCGCAACCCATAGAAGATGTCGGAACCTGAAATAGCAACCAAGGCCCCAGAGTCCGATGCATTTGAGCCCTCAGCGATCTCGAACCAGGACTCGAGGGCTCAGACCGGCGCGAGCATGGGCGAACACTGTGTAACAGATCGACCAAACCCAGAAGGTCGCCAGCCATCGGGTGAACTGTCCAAGTTCGGAGACATCGACGTCTACATCTCCAAGCCATCAGACTACCCCAATGCAGCAGCAAAGCTCCTTCTCCTCCTTACTGCTGGTACAGGTGTACATTCAGTTAACAACCAGGTCCAGGCCGACGTATTCGCTGAGCAAGGCTTCGTCGTGATTATGCCTGACCAGTTCCATGGCGATCCTGCACCAAATACCAAGCCTGTTCCCACCCAAGAGGAGAGCCCAGGCATTTTGGAGCAGTTCAAGTTGAAAGCCGCAGAGACTGCCAAATCCTTCATGGTCGACATGTGGCTGGCCAGGCAGACGCCCGAGAAGGTCATCCCAATTCTACTCAAAGTGATCGAAACAGCTAAAGATGAGTATGCTGACGCTGTAGCACATGGTGACGGTATCTACTGTGCAGGCTATTGCTTTGGCGGAAAATACGCTGTCATACTCGCTGGAGAACACCCCTCTTTCGGAGGACAACCGGCCAAGGATGAAGAGGCAGGCACAGTCCAGAAGGGACCGCTCATCAAAGCTGGTGCTGTCGCCCATGCAACGCTGGTGACCCGCGAAGACTTGAAAGCCGTTAGAGCTCCGCTAACATTCGCGTGTGTCGGTAAGTCGATATTGTGCTTATATCTTGAATCTTGCTGACAGTTCATGGAACACGATCCTTTGTTTCCTGCCGAGATCCTAGAGGACGGCAAGAAGTTCTTCGCTGCCAGCAATGTTGAGCATGAGGTCAAGATTTACTCTGATGTACCGCACGGTTTTGCCGTTTTTGGCGATTACGACTCACCAACGATTCGAGAGGCACAAGGGGAGGCCTTTCAGCAGATGCTCAATTGGCTCAAATCACACTAGAAATGGAAACTCCATCTCAGCACGAGCGACCTCGATAGAACAACTCACTGCACATTTTGTGGCATGAAACAGGGACGGCGTTGACGAGACTGACACGATACCCAATGGATAATCCGAGATATGATGACCAAACAGCAGCAAAGAGCTTCAGGTGGAGAATACAGATAGTATTGGCTTGAAAAGTAGGCCTGTCTTGAAGAGCCTTCTACTCAGAACGGTTCAACCGTGGCTTTATGGCAGCAAAACACAGGGGACCATGGTCGCTAATTGCACCAACAAGGCAATGTAACTGATTCTTCCACCGCTTGCAGTATTCCAGCGCTTTGCGCCTTTTTTGCTCGATCAGGTATCATCACTCATTTCTGCATCATCAACTGTACGAACTCGTTGTCTGGGAAGTAATGTTAGTCTTGCTGCCCCTGTACGCCCACCCACGAACAAGTCTGGGAAGGAGAACACTAACAATCAATGCGACCATCACCGTCCTGATCTGCCTCCCGAATCATTTCGTCCACCTCGTCATCTGTGAGCTTTTCACCAATCGAGGTCATGACATGGCGCAATTCAGCAGCGGAGATGAAGCCGTTGTTGTCGCGGTCGAACACCTTGAAAGCTTCTCGGATTTCCTCCTCGGAGTCGGTGTCCTTCATCTTGCGGGCCATCATGGTAAGAAACTCTGCCAACTTGTAAGCTTATGCACAGCATTACGCCCGCTGTTCATCTCATACCAGGGAAATCAATTGTGCCATTGTTGTCCGCATCGACTTCGTTGATCATATCTTGTAGTTCAGACTCGGAAGGGTTCTGACCCAGCGATCTCATCACTGTGCCCAGCTCTTTCGTTGTGATTTGTCCTGCAATCATGTGTCAATCGTGGTAGGCTTCTCGATGCCAATAGCTGACAGGCTCCGTCGAAGCGCAACATACCATCGCCGTCCTTGTCCTACACAAGTCGATATCTTAGCATTAAGGCTCGAGGCGCACAGAGGCAGGGCACATACGAAGAGGGAAAATGCCTCCTTGAATTCAGAGACTTGTTCTTCGGTGAGAGAATCAGCCTGTAAACAAAGAAGATTAGCTGATGCACACGCAACGTAGGTTCCAGATTCGCAGCCGCGTGCTGGCTAGTATCATGCATACCATGTTTGCGAGTGAGGTGATAGGTGGTCTATTTGTGTTGTGTCACGGCTCTTTGAGACAGCTGGTGAGCGAGAGAGTCGTGTGGTATGTGGTAAGGTAGATTATAGTAGCTGAGGGCAGCGTAAATTGAATTGCAGGTTGTCAGTGGTTCTGCAACTTGGCCCCCCTTACACAACTTACGAAGTGGGATGGGCTCCCCCGGATCATTGATTCGCCGTACCACCGGCAAACAATGGCCAGATCCGTGGTGCCTGTCGCGCGTCGAATGCTTATGACAACGCCGATTCCGCAGTTTTGGTATCCAGCGTATACAGCGTCCAGTATAGGCGCAGACCTATTCAGACACTGCGGATATCCAGCATGACAGGTATTGCCTTTAGCATACAACTACCGAGCGACTCATGTGTGTGAATGCGCAACGAACAGCACCGGGTCTGAAATATGTGGAGAGACCGAACGAACCTGTGAGTGCCAACCCCTGCCACGCCATGCTTCAAGCAAATACTAACATATAACAAGGTACATCTCATACCGACAGTCGTACTCTCATCATCCCGCGAACAAGACCAGATATACAGGCTCTAATGGCTTCACCGACCACAGTTCGGAGGAGACCAGGGGTCTCATGTCGGCAGGGGCATATGAGAATGAAGGGGATGCCGTGATTGAGATGGATCTGTTGCCACCACGCTGGATCGATATACAAGAGGAGGTCAATGATGTGCTCAAGGACATCACCCTCAAAGCGGCCAAGCTAGAGAAGCTCCATTCCAAGCACGTCCTACCGGGCTTCGACGACGAGGCTGTGAAGCAACAAGAAGAACGAGAAATCGAGCGTCTAACGACAGAAATCACACGGAATTTTCAGGAATGTCAGAAAGCAATCAAGCGTATCGAAATCATGGTCAGAGACGCAAGACAAGCAGGAAATTTGCAGAAAGGAGACGAGGTCATGGCGCAGAACATTCAAGTCGCCCTAGCCTCTCGAGTGCAGGAAGTCAGCGCAACGTTCAGGAAGAAACAAAGCAACTATCTCAACAGTAAGATCATGCTCCTCCTAAGATAACACACCCTGACATTAGCAGAACTTCGAGCCCTAGGTGGTTTCGAATCGCCGTTAGGTCGATCTTCGACTCCGGTACAGAACCCATACTCAGATCCGGCGCTGATGGAGTCCGATGCCGACAAGTCATTCTCTCAATCGACGCTTCAACAAAGTGCGCAGAAGCGCTTTAGGAGCAATGACACTGCGATAGCCCAGCGCGAACAAGAAATCAACGACATTGCCAAAGGTATAATCGAGCTGGCCGATATATTTCGTGACCTGCAAGGTATGGTCATCGACCAAGGCACGTTGCTGGACCGAATAGACTACAACGTCGAGCGGATGGCAATAGACGTCAAGGGTGCTGAAAAGGAGCTTATCGTGGCCACGAATTACCAAAGGCGCAACACGAAGAGGAAGATACTTTTGCTTCTTTTGCTTTTGGTGATTGGCATGTTCGTTCTGCTTCTCATCAAGCCAAAGAAACGATCAGCGGCGCCTGCGCCTGTCCCTTTTCCTCCAACAGCGCCAGAAAACCCTCCATGATCTGATCGCCATCGATTGTTTCGACAACCACCCTCTCGACCACTGGTTATAGCAGATTTTCCCTGTAACCCAGCCAGGTCCTTCATTTGGCTAGAGTGAGGTAATACTGTCAGGCTCTGGAGACATCATTTCAGCCACCTTCGACACGGAACTCAGGCCTGAACAGGACTTCAACTTAGGTTTGAGCAATGCACACCATCCTGCTAGCAGCCCTTCACGATGCTGGGCAGGGCCGCCACACTCAGCAAGACCTACGCACTCGGGTGCCCTATCAGGTCACTCCTTGAATCGGAAGATGACCAATACATTCCGGCCACGTTTGCAGAGAGGTGAAAGCGCCTTTTGCGGAACAGAGATCTCCCTGTCCGTGGTGCCGCAGGACGGAGCATCCTTGACTGAAGCTCAATTTGTAACCCCCAGCGGGTTGCTCTGCCAGGAGAGGAGGTTTGAAAAAATCCATCGCCTCGAGACTGCACCACTGACCAGCAAGGATGTCGGTTCCAAGGGTGAAACTGGCAGGCAAATGGATCGCGGTACGCTATCCGTTGCCTAAAGCAATACTGTAGTACAAGCTATACACCGAACAAGACCTATGTTCTATGAAGGCAACAGGGAGCGCACTTACTATTTGTATGTACCACAAGGAGAAAACAGTCGAGACCATATTGAAGACGCATGATATTGGGTATCAGCCCGGGCAAAAGAGGAGTGTACCTGAGTGCACTAAGTACACTGAAATCACGGATAAGCAATATATGAGGGCTGGAAATGCCTAAGTCTGACATGACGTATGACTTACGAGTATAAGCCCAGAAAACGTAAGGACATATTAGAAACAAAGAAACTTTTGCTTTCAATAGCGCTCTAAAGTGCGCCTTCGCAGATTCGAGTGGGCCGCTGGCGCAACGGTAGCGCGGTTAGTTATCTCGCCATATTAATCCAGAAACCATCTGACATCATGCATCAGTTCGACTCCAGATCGAAAGGTTATCTGTTCAAATCAGGTGTGGCTCAAATTTCGAGTTATTTTTTTGAAGTCAAGATCTAAGACATGTTAGCATCTGGACTTCGCCTGTGTAGAAGTGTAGGATTGGGGGGTCTTAGGCGTCGAATGAAATCGTTTGGGAGAGCCTGGAACTCGGTCTTGTGGCAACAAAGTGGTATTTTTTGTGGGAGGTAGCAACGTAGCTGCAACGGAGTGAAGATACCCTTAGGGCTAGCGCCCACCGGGCTCATACCCTGTCAAAGACACAGGCATGAGAAGTGGAAAAGAATCTCTGTTGGATATGAAGGGCTCCTGGGAGGGAGCCAGCTATATACTACAGGTGTGCTCCAATGTCTAGTGGAGTCACGTGAGTCACGTGATCAGGAGTAATACAGTAGGCTGGGAATGCTATGTCTGACAGAAACTCAGGTTCGGCCTGCCGAGAGTCAAATTTACTCGGCGAAAAAAGGAAGTCTCACGCCTACCGAGAATCAGCTCGAATTTAGGCAATGTCAAGTCAGCGAATACATTCAACAAGGTTCATCCCATACGGATAGGGCTCAAAACGCACTCGACTCTACTAAGAGTCGTTGCCCGGGATGTGGTTTGGTCATCAAGCCTTATACAAGAGCTAGCCTTCTAAAACACTTGCGTCAGTACCATCCCATTGTTATCGACCTAGACTATATTCGAGTGATGAGCCCGTGCGCCGAAGGGAAGCATACCGAGTCTTTTTGGGATCCCAGCCCAGATGACCAAGACCACCAATTTCTTGACGTTTACGAGCAAGAAGACTGCGATCACTGTAATGAGGATGAGGACATTGATATGGATGGAGAACCCGACCTATATGAGCCCGAGGGAGCGGACCCCGCCGACTTAGATGACAGTCTACACAACGAGCCAATGTTCTTCCAAGGTAACACAGAGCTTTGTAAGGCTAAGCCGTCTTCCATGCCTACAGACATTGATAGTTCAGACCATGTGCAAGAAGAGTTCATGAGCTGCATTCACGAGACTTCACTTGGAGATATCAAAAGTGCCTGCGATATATATGAGACGCGAAATGTCAAAGGCGTAACATACCGTCTCACCAAAGCTTTGCCACGACCTTCAGATATCGATGCTGACGATATTATCTGCGCTATCTCTGTGTACGACCGTTGGCGTTGCCAAGTACTGTGCCTTTCAAAACTTTGTGAATTTGTCAGGTTTGCCGAGCCACTCACC